TGAGTGCCTGGTGCATGCGGAGGCCAGAAGAGAGCGTCACATCTCTGGAACTGGCGTGACAGACAGTTGCGTGTGCTGGGAACGGAACCTGGATCCTCCGCAACAGCAGCAAGTGCTCTTAACCACGGGGCCATCTCTCCATCCCTTAAATAACGTTTAGGAGATGCCACAGGCCCACACGAAGCCTTGCTTCCCTCTTTAGGGAAGGACTTTGTCTCACTGTCCTTCCTCCTTATTAACCTTTGTCCAAGATTCCAGACAACTGATTCCTTCCCATCAGGTCGCAATTCAAAATGCCATCACGGCAAGGAGCCTACTCCTAGCACAGGAGGGCGGCACACCACGGCCATTCTCTGTGACATACTGTTACCCCTTCCCATTGTGTATGTGAGCTCGATCTGAGTTCATTATGTGTTTTCATCTTTTTACTATATGTTTCTTAATGTATAGACTTGAATATCTTACTACCGTACCCCTAGTATCCAGAGTAACTAACAGATGGCAGATACCCAGTAAAGACTTGTTAATCTTTTCTAGGAGGGAATATATATAAAATTTACATATAATCAGCATACAATTTATAAAGCTATCTACCTGTATCATCCACCCATCTACCATCTGTCTGTCTGTCTGTCTGTCTCTCTCTCTCCCCCTATGTATCTTCTTTTTATAGCTCTAGCTGGCCTCAAACTCAGATACACTTGCCTCTGCTTCCCAAGTGCTGGGATTTAGGTGTGTGCCACCATACCTGGAAAAAATTACACTTTTTTTTTGTTCTTTGAGACAGGGTTTCTCTGTGTAGCTTTGGGGCCTGACCTGGAACTTGCTCTGTAGACCAGGGTGGGAATTATACTTTTTAAAAACACTGCTAAAGGAGGCTGGAGAAATGGCTCAGCGGTTAAGAGCACACAATGTCCTTTCAGACTACCTGAGTTTGGTTCCCCACCCACACCAGACAGCTAACAACTACTTGTGACTCCAGCTCTAGGAGACCTGATGCCCTCTTCTGGCCTCTTCAGGCACTGCACTCACATGTACATAGTCACACACACACACACACACACACACACACACACACACACACACACTAAATGAATGTTATATGATAGTAATTACTTTGAAAATAAATATTTTAAAATAGAAAAAAATAATAAGACGAAAGCTAAAAACAACACTGCCAACGCCCAAAGCGGAGAACAAGTCATGCTTGTAAATGTTAATAAAAGTGGTATTTGTGGCTCTCCTTTGGATCTGCTGTGTCTCTTTCTAATCTCCCTTCACAAAAATGAAACTGAGGATTTGGGATGAAATCTGCTCCAAAGCTTACACACAGAATGCTGTAATCTTTTACTGAGCATGTTTTTGTTAAGTATGGTTTTGAGATAATGCAGCTTTTAATTTTACACTTAAAGTGAAAAAACAGCAACTTTATATGCTCTGGTTCAGTCCAGTCTACTTAAATAAAATTACAGTAGATGTAGTACTGTACGAGAGACAATCCGCTTAGACTCCATATTTCAAAATAAGAAGGCTGGGACAAAATAATGTGTATGTATTGCTGAAATTTTGAAAAACCCTGCAACTACGTAGACAAATATTATACAACTAAAACCCTGGAGACAAATCTAAAACATATTACATCTTAAGGCAGTGAGGGGCTGGTTCAGGATTTTTTTTCTACATATATACTGTTAGAATTTTAATATCTGTGCGAATGATTTTATTTATTTGCTTATTTCACTTTCAGCTTTTAAAACATTTAAGATATGTCTCTCAAATAATACAGTTAGATTTGCTTTTTATTTTTGGTTTCAGGCAGGGTCTTGCTCTGTGCCTCACGCTGCCCTGGAATTTGTTACACAGTCTACATTGATCCTTCCAAGCACTCTAATTACAGGCCGGTGCTACTATACTGAACTTTAGATTCTAATTTTTACAAAACAGCTGACAAACTTTGTACTAAAAATATCCGGTCCATTTAGATTGGATGAACTTGCCGACAGCAAACGTAAATATACTGCAGTTGATCACATAGCAGGCCACACAGAACTCCATCTTCAGGACTCCGGCAGTTAACCAAGCAGCTGCTGGAGTAGAAATGGTGACCGTTCTGTTCTAGGACCTGCTCTCAGCTGCAGTGGGCCATGCCTCCTTGTGAGGGTGGGACTCTATGCCCACAAACTGGGCTGGATGGACGTTTGCAAGGTTGTCTCAGCTCCAGAGTTCCCTCTGTGTGTGTGTGTGTGTGTGTGTGTGTGTGCACATGTACACGTGCACGTGTGAGGAGGTCAAAAGACCACCTCAAGTTCTAGTCCTCAGGAGCCCAGTGCACAGTTAAAAAAAAAAGCTATGAAAAAATGATGTACTCTAGATTTAAAAGAACTTGTAAAACAACTAGCAAATTGTGCTGGATTCACATTCTGTTTCTAGTTCTTACAAATTAAAGGGGAATTAGGGCAAGCAATAATGAGGCACTTTAATGGTATTTCACGGCAACAGAATACACACCAAGGACCTCATGTTTAATAAGATGTGGATAGAAGAGAAAATCCTCACCATTACTTTTGGCTTCACCTCTGAGAGTAGTAGTCTCTCTAGTATCACCAGATGATGTGAGCAAGCTTTCCTGGAATGCGGCTGGCAGGGTGCATTTTCTCCCAGCTAAGTACAGTTACTGTCTCTTAGAGGTGTGAACTACATTAAAGATACTGAAATAAATACTCACTAATGCCAGTTATTTTTGTTAATAACTCTTTTTTTCAAAATATGTTTGACCGGCCGGGCGTTGGTGGCGCACGCCTTTAATCCCAGCACTCGGGAGGCAGAGGCAGGCGGATCTCTGTGAGTTCGAGGCCAGCCTGGTCTACCGAGCGAGTTCCAGGACTGTCTCCAAAACAATACAGAGAAACCCTGTCTCGAAAAACAAAACAAAACAAAACAAAAAAAATATATATGTATATATATATATATATGTTTGACCAAAGAATACTTGATTCAGAGAGCATGTGTGTGTGTGTGTGTGTATGTGTGTGCGTGCGTGCCTGCACGTGGAGGCCATCAGTGATGTTAGATGTCTTCTCCTATCATTCCCTACCTTATTTGATGGCATGGATTGGCTAGACTGGCCATAAAGTGCCTGAGTCTTCCTATTTCTCCCTCAATCTCCCTCAGTCTCCCTGACTGAGATTGTGGGCATGCATCCCTGTGCCTGGCTTTTTATGTTGGTGTCATGGATCCAAATTCAAGAACTTTACACAATGAACCAAGTCCTAGCCTGATAATACTTATTTTTACTATGATTACTTATTTTAATCTCTGTTCAACTATTGGCTCTGTAAGAGCAATACATACTGTTCCTGTTGTATACACACCTTTGAGACAACTGTCCTGGGTAAAGTGACATCCAGTAATACAAAACCTTCAATGACTTATAACTACTAGAATCCTTACAAACAGTAGTCTTCCTCCTCCAACTCTTTTGAGATAGTTTCTCATCATGTATTCCAGTCTTGCATTGAACTTATGATCCTCCTGCCTCAGTCTCCATCATGGTCAGCGACTGTATGATGGGGCCAGCAAGATGGCTCAGTGGGTAAAACTGCTTGGCAAATAACTCCGATGATCTGAGTTCAATCCCACAACACATGTGAAATGCCAGCAGCTCGCATGCACATCTGTTACCCCAGCACTCCTAGGGTGAGCTAGGAGAGGACAAGAATTAGCCAGAAGCTCACACAGACAGCACAGCACAGAGTAGTAGCAGAAACGGAACATGGAGGAAGGAGAGAACTGAATGTTGTCCTCTGACACTCTGAGTCGCACGCACGCACACATTCAAGCACACACACACATGAACACACACACACATGTTCTTATGCTCACACAGATACTCTAAACACTTTGCAGTTTTGAGATGTGGACTGTTTGGAGGTAAGCACCTGTTTGGATGCCTGTGGTCCTTGGTTTGAGCCAGAGCCCCATACAAACAGAACAGAACAAAAATAAACACACAGCTCTGAAATAAGTGTTTTGATGTATACTGAAAGGCATTTATACACAATAAGGAGTGAACCTAGTCAGAACCTCAAGTATTTAAATAGGTCATAAATATAAACACTTTAGATAAAAATTTGTGTTTGAAGCCGGGCGTTGGTGGCACACGCCTTTAATCCCAGCACTCGGGAGGCAGAGGCAGGCAGATCTCTGTGAGTTTGAGGCCAACCTGGTCTACAGAGTGAGTTCCAGGACAGCCTCCAAAACAATACAGAGAAACCCTGTCTCGAAAAACCAAAAAAAAATTTGTTTGATATGACTCCATTTATTAAAAACAAAACAAGTATTCTAAGATGGGTTTGGTGGTGCACGCCTTTGGGAGGCAGAAGCAGGTGGATCTCTGAGTTCCAGGCCAACCTGGTCTACAGAACGAGTTCTAGGACAGCCAGGGCTACACAGAGAAACCCATTCTCAAAAACAAACAAACAAACAAACAAACAAAAACCAAGCAGACAAAACTATTCTAGGGTCTCGAGAGATGGCTCAGAGGTTAAGCGGACTGACTGCTCTTCCAGAGGTCCTGAGTTCAATTCTCAGCAACCACATGGTGCCCTCTCCTGACTTGCAGACATACATAGAGGCAGGATGTTGTATTCATAATAAATAAATAAAATCTTTAAAAAACTATTCTAGAAAGTCTATACATAATACACTTATACCCTAAACATTTAAAAAATCTGATACATAATAACCCAAATTTCAAATACATTTGAAAACTAAAACAAAACCCCTTTTTGCAATAAGGTTGCTTCCACACTGATGCACGGATTTACCTGTACAATATATTATGAGGACTCAATTTATCAAAGAGTTTGGAAGTTCAGCACAACAGTAACATCAAATTACCTTTACTGTTGAAGAGCTTTATTAGTCAGTCCTTACATAATAGCTATAGTCAGCTAGTTACAGGAGGTTTTTTAAAAAACTAAAATATTTAAAATACTTACTATGATCTTCTTACAGTCCTTCCCTCTGCATAGTTCTGTGTAGGTTGAATACTGCACATATATGATCCAGCTTCCCACAAAAACCACCAACCAGGAGAAGAAAAGATACTTCACCCGCATGTACGAGAGACGAGCCTGCAGGTAAAGGACATGGAACCGTCACTCACTCAGCGACAAGTCAGCCCTCGCTGCCCTGGAACAGGGCACTCTCCTGGCTTCCAAAGCTCAATCATGTACAGTCTAGGCTTCCATATGGCACTTCTAGGACAAAGTGCATTTTCAAGGAGCCCAAACAACGCAGGTCTTAGAGACGTTTCCAGGTCTTGACAAGGAAAAAAACAAAATGCCCATTAGGACGTGCAGCCTTTCAAATACCAGCACCAGAGCTACTCACTCAGCACAGCACAGTGCTTCTCCAAGACCAAGGAACGAGCTTCCGTTAACTAGAAACTGACCAGACACTGTTTCAGACGAGAATTTTAAAGGTAACGATAAGATATTTCAGCCAGCAGGTGGTGGCGCACACTTTTAACCCCAGCACTCGGATCTCTGTGAGTTCCAGGCCAGCCTGGTCTACAGAGCGAGTTGCAGGACAGCCAGGGATACACAGAGAAACCCTGTCTTGAAAAACAAAAACCACCACCACAACAAAACAGAATGACTTAGCTAGGTATGGTGGTGTGTGCCTGTAATTCCAGCACTAGGGGAGGTGTAAGCAGGAGAATCAGAAGTTCAAGGCCATCTCTGGCTACACTGAGTTGCCGATCTAGACTATTTAAGAGTCTGTCTCAAAAGAAGAAAAAACAAGCAAAGAAGGAAGGAAAATGAAAAGGAAAGCCTAAATTACTCCTCGAATGTCAACTACTGAAGCCACACGATAGCCCCCTCTTTGCCGGCTGCTCTGATATTGGTGCCGTTCTGCTCCCGCAACAGAGCCAGCCGCTAGTCTTCAAACGCGGCAGTCGGTCAACACAGCCTGATATTTACCTTTGAGATCTAGAGTTCCAGCGGTTTGATTCAATAAACAGTAGAACTGAGCAGAATGAATTAAAGATGCACACACACAACGAGAAGCTGGTTTTGCTTTTACAACCCTGAGCCAGTTTCTCACAGTTGGGAAACAGTAGAATACTGTGCACACTATGGGCATGAAAAGAAAGCAGAGAGAGAGAGATGAAGGGGCCAAGACGCACCTGCAGAAGACAGAGAGTTCAAAGGGAAACACCAAACTCTGCCACAGATCTGTCCCTGTGAGTTTTCGCAGACAGTGAAATCCCCAGCACCAAAAGCTTGAGTACAAGAAATTCAGCTAGGTGGCAAGGTTTTTGGGTCTTATTACTAAGTGTAAAAGAGCTTTTTGTCTGCTTGATTTTGTTTTCTTCAAGTAAGGATGTCTCTGCGTACTCCTGGCTGTTCTGGACTCTTAAATTCACAAAGATCAGCCTGTCACTCTGTAGACCAGCCTGTCTCTGCCTCCCAAGTGCTGGGATTAAAGGAGTGTGATACCGCCTGGTGTAAAAGAGCTCTTAATGCAAAATATTTTTATGTAGCACTAGATAAACTCATTTTTAAAAAAAGCTACATCGCATTCAACACAATGGAACCAAGAGGTCTGCCCATAAAAAAAAAAAAAGTTAGAGATTACTTGGCCCTGACAGGAAGTCTGGTCACCAGCTATAAAATGGCATGTGCTAGCATTATTAGACTCCACTAAGATTAAAGACATATGCCTGCAAAGCTGAGCACACTGCTGTACACAGAGCAAATACTAAAAAAGCATCAGCTAAAATCTGTATCAAGTCACCATGCAAGAGACCAGCAACGCCACCGCTGGCTGCCGCCTTCTCCCTGACCTGCCAAAAAGAAGCCAAGATCTGGATCTGATCGAGCTTCCAGCTGCAACCCAGTTCACCGGGAATGGTGGAGACAGAGGTAGAATTGAAGTAAATGACAGTTCTGGCAAAATCCCAGGCTCTGGGGGACAATCGCAATACAAAGAAGTCACTTCTTCAACAGTTAAATCACAGGGGTAAAACAAGGAGACACTTACAGACTGGGAAATACCTAGGAAATGCAGCAAATGATTACAACATAGAAATCCTTTTAGAGTTCTGACTCAAATTAAAAATGTAAAACAAACAAAGAGAAAACAAAACACCAAAGAACAAAGACCTGAGCGAGGAGGACGCTAACAAACATGCTAACACGGAACAGGGAAGCTCCCGGCCGCAACCTAGAGGAAGACCTAACAAACATGCTAACACGGAACAAGGAAGCTCCCGGCCGCAACCTAGAGGAAGACCTAACAAACATGCTAACACGGAACAGGGAAGCTCTCGGCCGAAACCTAGAGGAAGACCTACAGGCAGCTAAGGAACGCTGAGTGGGATGGTCCTCCCCAGGGAAAATCACATCGATTGGTTATCCACAATAACCATGTGGTTATCCACATGGTAAACCCTGAAGTCATATTCATACACATACCATTATACATACTGAGCAGGTTGTATTTGTATGTTCAGGAATATATTATATATGCCTTTATAACTAAAGAGAAACACGTCATGAATTTGAGGGGGTATACAATGGGAAGAGGAAAATGATAAAATTTTAATTTCAAAAAAATATTAAGAAAACCAAATTTGGAGGCTGGAATTGACGGAACACAATTTAAACACAATTGACGGAACTCAGAGGCAGTCTGATCTCTGAGTTCAAGGCCAGTCTGGTCTACATAGAGAGCTCTAGACCAGCTAGGGATACATAGTGAGACCCTGTGTCAAAACAAAACAAAATAAAGAGAAAATGACATTTGTGTGACAAGCCAAAGTTTTTCTTTTTCTACATTTTTCCCCATTAAGAGTGAGTGTAAAGCTGGGCATTGGTGGCGCACGCCTTTAATGCCAGCACTCGGGAGGCAGAGGCAGGCGGATCTCTGTGAGTTTGAGACCAGCCTGGTCTACTAGAGCTAGTTCCAGGACAACCTCCAAAGCCACAGAGAAACCCTGTCTCGAAAAACCAAAAAAAGAGTGAGTGTATATGTGTGTGTGTGTGTGCACGTGCGCGAGTGTGTGTGTGTGCATGCGTGTGAGTGCCACAGAACGTGTGTGGTGGTCAAAGGATAACTTGTGGGAATTGATTCTCTATGACCACCATGCGGGTCTCAGGGAATGAATTCAGGTCTTCTGTTTGGCATCAGCCACCTGTACTAGCTAAGCCATGCTCTCCCTCTCCCCCTCCTCCATTCTAATTTTTTCAGTGATGGGGACCAGACCCAGGGTTCTGTAGCTGCTGGACAAGCATTATACCACTAAACTAACCTCTGAACCCCACCAAGTACCACTAACACTTGTGAGACAGTTGGTAATTTGAAGAATGGCAGAACACTCGACGATGGGAAAAGAGGTTCTGGGGTAACAGGATTTTGCTCTCCTCTCTTCATGAGCTATATTTGCCCACACCCCCTGGCATATGTTGGAGCTGAAGAACACCCTGAGAGCTGAGGTATTCCATGAATGCTTACCACACACAGAAGGCCACGAATGTTGCAGAGGAAGTCAGATTAATGATGTCCACAGCAGGGTGCTGGGCATCACCTGTTGTAGAGATCATGACCAAAGAAGCAAAACATGTTTCTATCCAGCATGCTACAGAAAACTGCTGTGTCTTATGTATAAAAAAAATACTGCAATGACCTTCATGTATCCCTCAATATCTAAAGATAAGCAGCCTTACATTTTAAAATGAAGAGGTAGCTTAAATTACATCTCTATTTCATTTTCTCCATGTGGCATTTGCTAAAATGTTTCTAGTGTTCTGTTTTATAACAATTACCTAGACAATCTAGCCTTTGATTAAGAAATACAGCCTGTGATTTTTGTTTATGCTTAACTGTTTAAAATTACATCCTAGCAGGTGTTTTATAGTGCCGATTTTGTGCTTAGCTCCTAATGGAACATCACTTTATCCCGAATTATGTTCCTGTAAAGAAAAACACACAGGACAGTGACTCCCAACTGTGTCAATATGCCCTCACTACGCCCAGCAAGGCACTTGGCAACATCTGGAGACATTTTCAGTCGTTCTGTGGTTTGTTTTGCTTCTGGTCTCTCTTGGCAAGTGTCCAGAGATGCAGCTAAACACGCCATCATGGATGCTATCACCCCTCTCTGTGGTGGCCTGAAAGAAAGTGTCCCCGTAGAGAGTGGTACTGCTTATTAGGAGGTGTGGCTTGGGGGGGGTAGGTAGACCTTGCTGCAGGAAGTGTGTCGCTGTGGGAGCGGGCTGTGAAGTCTTCCTTGCTCAAGCTGCTCTCAGTGTGACAGAGTTGCTTCTGCTGCCTGCAGATCAAGGTGTAGAGCTCTCAGCTCCTTCTCCAGCACCGTGTCTGCCTGCACGCCACCACGCTTCTTGCCTTGATGACGATGGACTGAATCTGTAAGTCAGCCCCAATGAAATGTTTTCCTTTATAAGAGTTGCTGTGGTCATGGTGTCTCTTCACAGCAACAGAAACCCTAACTAAGACACTCCCCCAAGCACCACCCATCCCAAGATGTCAAAGTTGTATGACGTTATCATTTTACTTTTGATTAGCCTTCAGTGAATAAATTGTTACTAATTTAAAGGTATGTGATATCTGTCTGAAAACGACAGAGCAATGGGGAATTACTCATCACTCATCATATTTTGTTGTCAATAAAAGTCACTGGAGATGAAAATATGCACATGATAAACAACCTTCCTCTGTTAATCCCACACTGAAGAACAACGGTGTGGTTGGGCACAGTGGGGAGGTAAAGGCAGGAACATCAGAAGCTCAAGGTAAAACTCAGCTAGCTATGTAGTATGTTTGGGGCCAGCCTGGGTGACATGAGATCCTGTCTCAAAATCAAAGGCGAGAGGCTAGAGATATATATGGCTCAGAGATGGAGAGAACTAGCTGCTCTCCAGACGACCCAAGTTCAAGTCCCAGCACCCACATGGTGGGCAACAACCATGTGTGGCCTCGGTTGTCTGGGTCCAGCACCCTTTTCTGACCATCAAAGGCACCGTGTGCAGGTGGTGTGCAGATGTGTGTGGGTAAAACACATCCCATACAAGAAAAATGAAGTGGGGGGGCAAGGCTCAGTGGGAGAAGGCTTGCCACCAAGCCTGCCACCGACCTGAGTTCAAGTCCTAGAAACCACATGACAGAAAGAGAAAATGTACTCCCTACCGAAAGTCATTTTATGACTTCCACACAAAAGGCATGCATGAGAGGGCACGCACATACCCATGCACCCCCAAATAAACATAGGGCAAAACAGAAAATCCCACAACCCCCCCAGAGTGATTAAAAAAGGGGCATGGAGGCTCATGCCTGTAATCTCCACACATGGGAAGTAAAGGATCAGGAACTCAAGTACAGCATGGGACGGATGCATGTGACCATGCTTCATACAAACAAAAAGTACAACCACTTAAAGTAAACTGAGCTTGTGCAAGATGTGGACACACTTTGAAAAGCTCATTAACTTCTGAATCTTTTACAGCAACTGAGTTTAAGCTGGGCACAGAAGTCCTATCTGCCAGGAAAGCTAGAGCTCAGGATTCAAGGCCAGCTTTAAAACCACCACCTAGAGCTGGGTGGTGGTGGCGCACGCCTTTAATCCCAGCACTCGGGAGGCAGAGGCAGGCAGATCTCTGTGAGTTCGAGGCTGGGCTGGACTGACAGCCTCCAAAACAATACAGAGAAACCCAGTCTCGTAAAAACAAAACAAAACAAAAAAACAAAAACAAACCACCACCTAGAACAAAATACATATCCCTATCTCCATTTGTTTATATGGCTTATATAACCATTGAATGAACTTTGGAAGCCCATTCCACATGGAGGGATGCTCTCTCAGCCTGGACACATGGAGAAGGGCCTAGGTCCTGCCCTGGATGAAATGACAGACTCTGGAGATCCCCCCAAGGAGGGCCTCACCCTCCCTGGGGAATGATGTGGGGATTGGGTAGGGGGCTGGCGGGACTGGGGGAGGGGCAAGAGAGGAGGGGTGGGAGTGAGCTGGGATTGACATGGGAAGCGTGCATGTTTCTAATTTGAATGAAAACATATATTGAGGGAAAAAAGTAGCAATTTGCTTCTTTTTTAAACTATTCTGACACCACTTGATAACTTATCTTTTTTTTTTTTTTTGGTTTTTCGAGACAGGGTTTCTCTGTGGTTTTGGAGGCTGTCCTGGAACTCACTCTGTAGACCAGGCTGGTCTCGAACTCCCAGAGATCCGCCTGCCTCTGCCTCCCGAGTGCTGGGATTAAAGGCGTGTGCCACCAACGCCCGGCGATAACTTATCTTGAAACAAGTCTGAAGACATTTTTTTTTTTTGCTTTTGTTTTTGAGACAGGGTCTATGTAGCTACCCATCCTAAAACTGACTATGTAGACCTAGCTGGCCTCAAACTCAAGAGAGCTCCCTGCCGTTGCTGCCACAGTACTAAGATGAAAGGAATTCTTACCCGAGAGTGGATTTTCCCAAAACAAGTGTTCTGAGATGTCCAGGTGGAAGCTACACCACATCTGTAGCTTTCTTTTTCTTTCTTTCTTTTTTTTTGTTTTTTTGAGACAGGGTTTCTCAGTATTGCTTTGGATGCTGTCCTGGAACTCACTCTGTAGACCAGGCTAGCCTCGAGCTCACAGAGATCCATTTGCCTCTGCCTCCCAAGTGCGGGGCCCGGGCTTCATCTGTAGCATTCTTTCGGTTACCCAAGACCAGCTGAGGAAAAATGAAGGGCGTGACTGCCAGGAGACTCGCAGCTCACCGAGGGGCCAGTCTAGAAGAGGGCTAGAAAGGCGTGTCTGTAATACAGGCCCTGGGGAGCCAGACACGGAAGGATCCTAGGGCTCAGCTGGCCCATCAGGTCGGCTAATCAGTGAGGACAAGGCCCCGGAGAGACAACTCATCTCAGAAAGCAAGGAGAACTGCTCATGAGGAAAGACTACCAAGGCCACCTCTGGCCTCGATGCGTACACATGGACAATGGGCAGTCTCTCCACACAAAAACTCATCTTAACTGACAGTATTTCTGGAGAGTAAGAGAATTCCGACGGATTCTGAAGGGTCCCTTGCTGGTCTTTGTGTGACTTCTAGACCAGGGCAATTGAACACTGCAGCATAAGCTCTTTACTCCACAGAGGAGCAGAGAGAGAGAGAGAGTGTGTGTGTGTAGGTGTATACCACATGCATCTGCCTTGGGGGCACAGAGAAGCACTGCGAGAACCAGGAATGTTAATTACACAGGGGTGTCTCCTCAATGGAGAGATACAAATCAGTCACCTGCATTCCACCCAGAGAGCTGAGAGTGGGGGGTGCTAATGTCCTGGATACCTTGTTGCTGTCTGAGGGGTCAGACCTCACCCTAATTCTCCAGAATGACTTTTCCCAGAATCTTCCCTCCCTAGACCGTTACCCATCCTTAGGGGAGGTGTCACAAGTGCTTTATGGCCTGCTGATCTCTTATGGGTCAGGGACCCCACTAGGTTCTAGGCATGGACTGTGTAAAAGTCCCACCGTGGGCTTTGTTGTGCACCTGAAATTGGGCTGATTGGACTGATTGTTGTTCTGAGACATAAGAATAAGTTAGTAAACAGAAAACTGACCCACTAGCCAAGGGGCCACCTGCTTTTCTTTGTTTTTGTTTTTGTTTTTGTTTTTGTTTTTTGGTTTTTCGAGACAGGGTTTCTCGGTAGCTTTGGAGGCTGTCCTGGAACTCGCTTTGTAGACCAGGCTGGCCTCGAACTCACAGAGATCCGCCTGCCTCTGCCTCCCGAGTGCTGGGATTAAAGGCGTGCGCCACCAACGCACGGCTTTGCCATCTGCTTTTATAAACATGATTTTATTAAATTACAGCCACCACCCCATTTATTGATGTGTTAGCTTCTATCCTGTAACAGTGGGGTCCAGTGGTTGCAGAGAACATATGGCCAGCAAAACCAAGGTTTACAAACCATTGGGACCACTGCAGAAAGAATCTGCTAACTTCATACTGTGTGGAGGAATCATTCTCTCCTCTGCTTCTCGGATGTTGGTTCAGCATGTGAGGTGCTTTGACCAGAGTTTGCTAGCGACTATGATACAAAGATGATGTGCAGTGGAATTGCCAAGGCCAAATGCATCCCTGGTAGTTTACTGACCTAAGCAGTAAGTGACACCACAGTCTACGGGAACCAAACACACTGCTGTACCGATACTGAGAGACTACCATCAGTCTCTTACAAGAAGTCTACAAGGTAGGAACTACTCGTTTTTTGCAGATGGAGACGCTGAGAAACACCTAAGGATTAAGCAGACTGTAGTGGTTTTGAATAGCGTCAAGCTGGCTTCAGGACCGGTAATTGCTCTCCTCTACGGCAAGCTAAGTACATAAATCTTTGCCTGAGTATTTGATTATTTCTTCAGAGAAGATAGCAAGTGACATTTCTAGGTCAAAAGCTTTGAGGTATTAAGAGGTTTAAGATAACATGTTACCATGTTTCCCAAAAGCTTGTAAAAACTAACATTCACTGTTTTTTCAAATGAATTTTACTCTCTCCAGAATCCAGTTCTACAAGCAGCTACAGTTTCATTTTTTTTTGACAATGGCATATTTCAAAATATGCTCTCTGAGGCAGGTGGTGGTGGGGCACACCTTTAATTCCAGCACTTAGGAGCAGAGGCAGGTGGATCTGGGTGGATCTCTGAGTTCGGGGCTAGCCTACTCTACAGAGCTAGTCCCAGGACTGCCTGGACTACCTAGAGAAAAAAAGAAAATAAGCTTGTAAGGAGGGGGGAGTCTGTGTGAGTTGGAAGCCAGCCTAGTCTACATGTAAATTCTAGGGCAGCCAGAGCGATACAGTGAGACTCAAAACAAAACAAACAAACAAAATCATAGTTTGAAAATATTACAAACCATGCAAACAGATGGCCCTCTCTAATTTTGGGATTTCTAAGACAGGTTTTAATCTAAAACAACTGCCTTCACAATTCTCAAATTCTAAAGAAAGCTAAAAAACAAAATAAAGCCTCGAGAAAGTTCTTAAAGAAAACCAACAGCTGTTTTGATCACAGCAATGTTTACTTAGGAATAACCTTACAAAGTAGGAACACATTTTGAGAGCTATGGCCCCTTCCACACTGGTAATTACGTATCAACACACCAGGGCTTAGGCAGTAATAGGCTTTACTTTGCCCTAAAGGGAATGCTGAAAAATAACTACCCAGAATCCCTCATGAAAATAGATAGGATTATATGTAATGTTTAATTAAGGTAATGGATAGCATACAAATTAAATATGAATTGCTAAAAATTTCTGAAATATGCAGCATGTATCTAATGGGCAAAAGACACCAAAGGGTTTTAAAAATTAATCAGGGGGCTGGGAACACGGTGCGGTGGATGAAGGCACCCGTTGAGCAAGTTTGAGGACCTGTGTTTGAACTGCTGGCACCCACACAAAAGCCGGACGCGGCTGTGTGTGTACACGTAACCCCAGTGCTGAGGGGTAGAGAAAGGGGCCCCAGGAGTTTGCTGGCCAGCGAGCCTCGCCAGAAAGGTGAACCTCGCAGTTAGTGTTAAGACTGTCTCAAGGCAGACAGAGACAGACCAAGATTGGGAGAAGCATCATCTGCTGTTCTTCAAGGACGACCTTGAACTTCTACTCTTCCTGATTCTGTCTCCCAAATGCTGAGCTTACAGGTGAGCACTACCAAGTCTGGCTTGTAGAATGCTGGGAATTGAATTTAGGGCCCCATGCTTGTTAGGCAAGTATTCTATCAACAGCTACATTCCCAGCCCCATATTTTATTTATTTATTTAATGTGGTGCGATGGTTTCAAAGAAAGTGACCTCTAACGGGAATGGCACTGTTAAGAGGTGTGGCCCATGGGCTGGAGAGATGGCTCAGAGGTTAAGAGCACTGACTGTTCTTCCAGAGGTCCTGAGTTCAATTCCCAGCAACCACATAGTGGCTCACAACCATCTACAATTCAGTCTGGTGCATGCTCTCTTCTGGCATGTAGACAAACTGTATCTGTAAATAAATCTTTAAAAAAAAAAGAGGTGTGGCCTTGTTGGAGTAGCTGTGGCCTTATTGGAGGAAGTGTGTCACTGTGGAGGCGGGCTTTGAGGTCTCATATATGCCCAAGCCACACCCAGTCAGACAGACAACTTCTTACTGCCTGCAAGTCAAGGTGTAGGACTCTGAACTCTGTCTCCAACACCAAGATGGCCTGCATGTCAGCATGATCCCCACCAGGATGATAATGGACTAGACCTCAGAAACTGTTAAGCCACCCAACTAAATGTTCTCCTTTGTAAGAGTTGCTGTGGTCACGGTGTCTCTTCACAGCAACAGCAACCCTAAGAAAAGTGGGCTCTGGATATCTCTTGGTATTACTGAATGAGCCATCTCCCAACATCCTCTCCCTATTTTTCAGCTTTCAAGTACTACTTGGTGTTTTATTCTGTGGTGTTATTAATTTAAAAAGTTATATTAAGCATTTCTTAAAATTAGCTGCATGGTTCTTTGCAGGAGTAACTGACAGGGTCACACGAGGTATTTTTGGTTGTGAACCTAGCCTTTAATGGCTGAACCATCTCTCCAGCCCAATTAATTTTTAAGAGGATGGAAATGCCACCATAATTTGGGTGTGGGTTATACTATTGGTCGGATTACACAACTGAAAAGTAAAATAGTTCATGGTACGTAAATTATAGCCCGGTAAGAATGGCAAAGGAGCTGACCCTCCCTTTGCCAGCAGCTGCAGGAAGCTGCACAGAGAAGCTGACCCTATTTGCGGGGTGCAGGTTAGCTCCTGAGAAACGTGAACACGAGAAACTTGGCCCTCATCTACCATATGATGGCATGGGCGGGGAAGAGACGCCCTCCCCACACCATGCCTGAGGCGGGTGAGAGAGCAGGCCCTGCACCTTGCCTGGGCAATGCAGCAGAGCTGGCCCTGATGGTTCAGGTGGGGAGAGCCGCCCCTGAGGGTGTGAAAGCAGGAGAACTGTCCAACCCCCCTCCCTGCTCACTGCTGCAAGGCATGAACTGGTGTGCGTGCTCAAGTGCTCCTAACCACTCCCTGGTCCCTAAAAGTGATGTTAAAAGCATTACCACGTACCATGTACCTGCAAAAGGGACCTGCTCGAACCTTCAGGCCCACCCCACACTCCTCTCAAAGGCTTGTGATGTGTGAGAGTGCAGTATGGACCAGAGAGAGGCATTAACCATGCCTCATAACCCCAACTCTGACAGAGCTTTTCATTTGCTCCTCTCTGCTTTTCTCTGAAGTGCGTCACACTCCCAATCCTGACAGACAGAAAAAGTAAGCAATAGATCAACAGTGCCACTCTCCTGCCTCCATGCTGGTACAGCGGGGACCAAGTTTCCGGCACGTGAAAATTCGGGGGCAGACTATAGCCAAACGGTGGCCATGTCCACAGTTTTAATACTCCCTGAGGTTCCGGGTACTGGAGGTCTCGGAAGATATCCTCCTCCATTTTACTTACTTCAGTTTTCACTGATGTGAGGACATCAACAAGAAATCTGGCGTCTTACTCGATGTTTACCACAAAGCCAAGTATGCACTGAGAGTGGGAGATGATGCCGGAAGATACCAGACTCTCGCTCGCTGCTGGCAGGGACGAAGACGAAGACGGGAGCAGCTGCTTTGGAAAGCGATTTGGCGGTTCCTCATGAGGTTAAAGAAAAACTCAGCACAGGACCCAGCAGTTCCAGTTCTAGGTATACAGTCAAAAGAACTGAAAACAAATGTCCTCACCAGAGCTGGTCATGTTCCAAGTGCTCACAGCAGCATTACTAATGACAGTAAAAGATGGAAACAACCCAGATGCCTGTCGGCTGGTGAGTGGGTAAACACCGTGCCGTCCTATACGATGGGCCATTACTTGATCATAAAAGAATGAAGGGATGCGGATGGAGCTTAGCAGAGTGTTTGCTGAGCACACACAATGGAGGCGCATGACTATAACCTCAGTACTCAAGAGGCAAAGGCAGAAGGATCACCTCCTCAGCTACATAGTAAGTTCAAAGTTAGCCTGGGCTAAGAAGAGACCCTGAGGTCCTGGTGCAGACCACAAGGGTGAATCTTCAAAGCATTATATATGTGAAAGAAACCAGAGTTTTAAAAACACTACATATTGCATGATTTCCATTCATATGAAATGTCTAAAATAGGCCCACCCATGGAAACACAAAATGGGTTAGTGGTTGTCAGGGGCTGGAGTTTGTCTTAATGGCTTTTGAGAAAGGAGTCTGCACTTCCTCAGAAGGCCATTCTAGTATCATACACACTGAGCATGTTTGTTTTTGTAAGTCTGTAATAAAGTAAAGACTTCCTTCATTCCGAGGGCATAATTATTTGGGCCAATGAAAAAAAGAAACAAAAATGGTTCAGATTCCAGGGTTTGTTTTACTCAAATCTCCCAGGGCAACAATAATCTGAATTACTTGACAATCTGAAACTCTAGATTCTTTTCAGTCTTAGACATTGGAAACAGTGATATTTAAATATGTGTCTATAATTGCATTACACTAGAAGAGCAGTTTTCATTATCCATTTGCATTTCAGGCCATCCAGACACAACAGACTTCATAAACAACTATAATCAGTACACATTCTTTCTGCACTGTAAACGATGTTAGTGTAGTTTTTAACAATGTTTTCCAGTGTTGCAATGATTGTCCCTTCAGACAAGTGGTTATTATTTACCTAATCCTCTCTCTTTCTTAACTTTTGTTTTATTTCCTCCACTCTGCTATGCAGACAAGGATGTACACAGAATTTTGTTTCATTATTTCAATTATTTTCTTAGGCTGTCTTTTAACAATAATTTACAAGTCATGCAACACGAACATTTTTATGACTCTTGCTCTCCAAACAAATTTCAATACTGTTTTGCAGTGTTGTTAACAGTAGTAGTAGGGATGGTGTAGGGACATGTATAAAGATAGGTTAATTAAACACACTTAAATAGCACTAAAGTCTTATTATTGAATTTTACTCTTCCAAATAGATCTGTATTTACCTTTTAATTACAGAAATTGCAAAGACTCACTGTAAACAATGAACAGTTTATAAAGTATACAAGCAGAAAGTAAAAGGTTAGTCTTACTTTTTGGGAGGGTTGGTTAAAACATGCTTCTCCTAAATGTGAGTTTATCTAAGTGTAAAATGTATTTGATGACCAAAGGCTCATGGAACTTCTGCATAGCTGATGGAAGGAAGAAGATTCAAACGCAGAGTGCTGGTAATGTAGAGATAGGGGATAATAAGCAGGGCTTCTGAGAGTGAGGGACAGAGGAGGTAACAGTTCCAGTATGGTCTGACTGAGAGTAGCTTAGCAGAAATATAGAAAAGCCTCCCCACCCCTGTGCCTTTTTCAGATGAGGTCTGACTTTGTTAACTAGTCCGAACTGGTCTTGAACTGGCAATTCTTAAACCTCGGTTTCCGAGGTGTCCAGGGTGCTGGGTTTGTAAGCACATCCCAGCGTGTCCATCTAGTAATTCACTTTATATAAACAATAGCACAAAAATCCCAGCCACACCTTTCATAGTTCTAGAAGGCAATGTGCAGGCTGCTAGGGGAGAACTGTCTTCAGTGGTCTTCAGCAGCCTCAGGCAAGATGTGCCCACATGTGCAAGAGTGGTGTGACCTTTGCACAAATAACCAATCACTTTACGACTGTATTCTATACCCATTCCACAGAAAGGAATTCACATTTAGCACTGTAAACCCAGTCAAAAGCCCATGTCTGGGAAGGTCATAGGTCACAGTGGGGAAGCTACTGTTGTTTTGCTAAGTTGGACATCATGTGTCTGTATAATTGCATTCCAGATATTTATTAAACCCAATATCAAAGAAACTTCTTTTTTAGTGGGCAGTAGTTACTGCAGAGATTCACGACTAGTCAAAGTTTGGATAAGTAGCTACTCAGTCCTAAACGGACTACCACGCCCCCTCCAAGGCTCAGAGAACCACAGAGAAAAGGAGTTAGAACGTAAGAGTGGAGGAAGAGATGGGCTTTTACAGACTCCTGTCTTCTGGCATGAGACGAGCCCTGCACTCTTCAACAGCAATTATCTGGACAAGATGTACAAGATTAGGTTTATCAACATTGTCACATGGCATGAAGGGGCTCACTAAGTTCTCCATCGCCCTGAGGCTCTATAGGCAGTTGATGGTTGCTGGGGGAAGGGGGAGATTTTCTTCACTGATGTAACCACTGTTAATTCGCCCGTGTTCCTGTAAACAGCCCTACTTAACCTCACTGGGTGACGCAGAAAAGGACTGCTTGGGAAGAGAAGGGGACCCACAGAAGCGGGAGGGAGCAAGAGGGTAAGACAGGAACTCCAGCTCGTCACAGCACATCTGCAGTCAAGAGCACAGAGAAGAGAGCCAAGCTGCTGTTTGCATATTCATTTTTAATACAGCATGGGGCCTGGCCCATGAAATGGTACCACCCACAATGGGCTGGGTCTTCCAGCATCAAGGAACAATCAGGACAATCCCCAAAGACATGCCCAAAGGACAACCTGATCTAGATAATCTCCCACTGAAACTCTCTTCGAAGTTAATTCTAGGTTGTATCAGACAGACGGTTAAAATTGCCCAGATTAGGGAGAGACCCAAGAAAGTGGCTGGTCCTTTCAGGAGCCGTTCCATTGCATGTATATACATATACATACAGGGATAATGTGGTAATCAGGACACACAGGAAATCACCAACCTTAAAATGAAAAAGTATTAGACAATGTAGCACAAACTGAAGGAAGACTGCCATCAATCAAAATGATGTATTATTTGAGCCAAATCTATTATGGCACAGATGGCCTTAGGGGCTCAGCCTGAGACTCAGCATGAGCTTACAGTTCAGATAGGACATAAAAACATAATTACCAAAGCACATAGTAAAAGCCATTTTCAGGACAGGATCTCTAAAGAAATTGTGTAGCTGGAGGTAATAGAGGGGATGGTCATTTAATTCAATCTTAGATGGTTAGTATGTCTGAACACGTTTGGGTCAGCCAATGAAGGGGAGGATTTGTGGTATGAGCTAAGTGTCTTCCTGGGAAAGAGAACATTCCAAGGGACACGCACAAAGTCAGGGACAGAGATGGTGTGTTGGTATTGGAGGGGTAAGGCAATAATGCTACTTAAACTGACCAGCTAAAGAACCCAGGCTTCACAACACACAGTACTTCCAGGCATGGGAGTGGCAGCTTCTAACACAGAAGCCAGCCTGTGAGAGGAAGGAAGGGGTGTAGGGCATGGTGACCGAGAAAAACATTCACGGAATACAAGCTAGGGAAGTAACCGCACACAGAGTAGCCTGGAGAATTGGAAGACAGATCTGAGCCATTCCTGGAAGGGTTTAGAGGAAGCCAGAGTTACACTACAGGGAGACTAATGATTACTTGCTGTTGTTACTGATAATTAAAAAAAAATCCCATGTTGCTTGTCCTATTCTTGTGTAAGAATAGAATGAGGCACTATTTTGGTTGACAGTTGTTTTTAGAAAGCAGTTCGGTGTTCTAGTTTTTTTTTTTTAAGTGTATTTCTTTTTATTTATTTTTCAGTTTAAATTTAGATTAGAAACAAGGTTGCTTCACCAGTCAGTTCCAGGTTCCCTCCCCTCCTCCCGTGCCCTCCCTGCAAATCCCCCCATTATCCCCTCATTTCCCCAGGGAGGGTGAGGCCCTCCATGGGGGTGTCCATAGTCTGTCGGTGTTTTAGTTTTTAAGTGCTACAGAAAAACACTCAGAGGATGCAGGTTCATGGACTACACTCCATGGTGCTACATGCTAACAGCGAGAGAGGCTGTAACCCTGACAACAGAGAGTAACAGACACTCTGGAGTTTTCTCAGTTTTGTTGTAAATCTTAAACTGCTGCAAAAAGTAATTTTTTATTATTAGTTAAAGAGATAAGGTGGGCGGTGGTGGTACACGCCTTTAATCCCAGCACTCGGGAGGCAGAGGTTTGAGACCAGCCTGGTCTACAGAGCGAGTTCCAGGACAGTCTCCAAAGCCACAGAGAAACCCTGTCTCGAAAAACAAATAACAAACAAACAAACAAACAAAAAGATTTCTAAATAAATAAATGAACACACACAGACTGATAAATGGGTATTTTAAAAGTAATCTCGAGGGGAATATGGTAGTTTTGAAAGCACTATGAGGACAGAGGACTGGTGAGGACCCTGCCTGGATTAGGGTGTGTCACATTCAATAAAGGCAGAGAAGGAATCCCAGAGGCATCATTAAAGTCAATCTCTTATGATCTGCAAATAAATGGGCTTGGACAATAGAAGTAAAGGAAGTTAAGTGTATTTGAAATGTTTATTTAAGAATGAAGATGATGAGCCGGGCGTTGGTGGCGCACGCCTTTAATCCCAGCACTCGGGAGCTGGATCTATACCCACAGTGTGAGAACTTCAGGTGTGTCCGGCCAAATGTCAGCACTCAGAAGGCTAAGACAGGGGGATTGCTACAAGTGTGAAACCCAGCTGTATTACTGTGACTTCAAGGTCAGCCTGTGACACAGAGTGAGCTGCTGTCTCCCCACCCCACCCACAAAAAAAAAAAAGGAAAATAAATTCAAGTATTTAATTTCAACTCATAACTTTTGGTTCCAAGATAATTTTTTAAACAAATTAAAATACACATATTAACTGAGATGTTATGAATACATGAACTAATTCAAATTCATTAAAATTCCTATGCATTTTCTTATTTCTAAAATGTAAGAAAATAGGATATTTTTGAAATATTTAACATAACATGCCAGTTTTTGTATAAGTTTTCAAACTTTATATGTTTTTTAATCTATTTTATGTGTATGGGTGTGTTGCCTAAATGTATGTCTATGTGTCAGGTCTGTGTCTGGGCATCAGATTCCGTAAAACTAGAGTGACAGAGGTTGTGAGCCATCGTGGGGGTGCTGAGAACGGAACCCCAGTCCTGTGGAAGAGTGGCCAGTGTCCTCAGCCATCTCTCTAACCAACCCCTTAACTTCACGTTTTTTAGATTCATTTTCATTTATGAGTATGCATGTGTCTCCATCTGTGTACCACACGTATGCAATACCTGTACAGACAGAAGACGGTGTCAGATCCCCTGGAACTAGACTTGATAGTCACCCGATATAGCCCGTGGGAACTGAACCCTAGTCCTCTGTAACAGCACAGGTGCTCTTAGCTGCTGCGCCATGTCTACAGGCACCAAGACTGTTCTCTTAATGAGAATTTGAGAGATGAAAGCAACCAGGCAGTGGTGGCATACTTTAATCCCAGCACTCAGGAGGCAGAGGCGGAGGCAGGCGGTTTTCTTGAGTTTGAGGTT